GGAGATGGAGACATCCTCACGAAGTCAGGGCTGGGGAAGGTTGTGCTCCAAGTGCCTCCTCTGCCAGAGGGCCCAGAGGCAGGTGAGGACGCTCTGGTGCCCCAGCCCTTCATGGAGGATGGTCCATCAGTGCTCTTGGCCCGCCAACACACCACACGTCCATATTTCCTCAGCTCTTAGGGGACCTGCTTTGGCAGGGGGGTTGGACCCGATGATCCCGTGGGGTCCCTTCCAGCCCCTACAGTTTTGTGATTCTGTGACCCTTGTGCTCTGGTGAGGTGTTGAGGGACCGCAGTTGGTGTGGCCCTGCTGTGACTTCTCAGGAGGCTTTGCTGGAGGTGTGACCAGCTGGGCCGGCCATCTTTCCGCCATCACGGGCGGCGGTGGCAGCGTGCACATGAGAGCAGGAGGCACGCGAAGGCAGAGCTGGCAGTTTGGCCAACGTCCCAGGATTTTGTTTCATCTCCCTCTAAATGTCTTATTTCATTTCCCTCTCTCTAAATATCAGGGTGAGTGATGCGGCGGGTGAGAAGCTTCGCCTTCCTGCCTGTGTGTCACAGGAAAGGCCTCCTCGTGCCAAATCATGAGGCGGCACTGGAGCCTCCCTTTTAAGCTGTTGCTACTTCCACTGACCCAAAACCTGTACTTTGTTAATCTTTTAGGTTACCTCTGAGTATATTTTATTTGTTTTCTTTTTAGAATCCACTCAGGAAAGGATCAGAGTCCTCCCTGCCCAGGAATACCCAGCTTGCAGGAAATCCCCCATGTAAGCTCAGCCCATGTAGGCTGACTTGCCCTGAAGAGGAATCCCACCTGGAAGCCACCAGCACCACTATTCCCCGTGCACATAGTTTCTGCTTGGCCAGCACACTTCTGTCATCCCTTTCAATACACAGCTATGGGGGGAGCGTGGATTTCTGCAGGCTGGTGGCCAGGTGACCGATGGCAGCACCCGACAGGAGCTGCAGGCTCAGCATCGCATGGCCCCGCTCCCCAGCCTCTCCAGCAAGGCTGAGGCTGGATGAGGTGAAACTCAGCTCCCAGGGCAGCTCAGCTCATCCCCCCACCTTGTATTTGCTTTTTGCCTACCTCTGCCATAAATACTGCGCCCTGCTATGCAGTGCTATTTGTGCAAATATCGGCACAAGGAGAGGCAAGTCTGTAACCTCTCTCTTCGTTAGTACTGCTCTGATGCTGTGAGTGCTATTAAAAATGTTAAACAAACAACCTGCAGAGTATCAAAGAAGTTTTTGTTTGCAATCTGACTTTCAGAAACGCCAGTCAAAATTCAGGGCAAAAGTGCCCCAGAGCACAGGAGGCTGGCGTCTCGGGTGTCATCATGGGACTTAGGGAGTCCTGCATGCCTTGTAGAAAAAATTTGGATTTTAACAGCAAGGATTTGGTATTGATATTTGATTGTGAAGATAGTGCTGTTATGTGACAAATATTTGATTTGTGTCAATGTCTTTGCACAGAGGAGCAAGATAGAGTCCCCCTTTCACGAATGTGTGTGGGATGATGTGCGCTAGAATTTCATTTCAGTGGCTGAATTGTTGCATAATGTTCATAAGTGTGTAGAAGCATTTGCAGCCAAATCCTGTGAGGATGGGTGGAACTCAGTGGAATTGTTTCCATCTGGGTAATGCAAAAGATACTCTAGTGTCTTTGTACTTCATTAAAATAGGAGACTTTCTTACAATTAGATCTTACTAACCACATTGTCAAAATGAGCAATCTGTTCTTCACTGGCATCTAACATCTTCTGCAGCTATCCTAGTGTACCCAAAGTCCACCAGACGCTACACAAAGGGCAGCTCAGTGGCACTGCAGTGACTGAGTTGCTCCACGTCTACCTGCAGCAGGGTCAGATACCCTCACCGAGGCAGGGACAGAAATCCCATTTACCTACAAACCTCATGTGCCCGTACGTGCAGCTCCTTTGTGGAGCTCCGCAGGACCCAGCACTGGAGCTGTGAGCTTCAGGTCTTGCTTCAAGGCTTCCTCAGTGTTTCTGTTGTGCTTGTTCTTGGTTGGGAGCTCCCCGCTCCCCATGGCAGGGCTCCCCAGGGCTCCTGTTTCACCCTCCCTGTGGCACCCAGAGGTCCCTGGGACCGGTGGGGTTTGTTCCTGCTGGGCTTTGGGCCAGGAGCATTGGGTTTGTCTGCAGGAATCCTGTTAAATTTAGGAGATCTCGAGTGACTTGGGAGCATAAAGAGCTGCCAATGGCTGAGTCACTTCTGCTGTGAGTGGGACTTCAAAAGTGCTGCCCAAGGCAGTAAACCTGACTATCCCAAGCTGGAAGGGACCCACAAGGATCACTGAGTCTGACTCCAAACTGAATATGCCATTAGAAGTCATGGTATAAGCATTTGCTCCTGGGGATGGAATCACTGCGGGTACAGCTGCCATCGCACCCTCATCATTTAGCTGCAGGCCCAAGGGATTCCTGAACTCAGGACTCGTGTTGCTGTTGGCTTGCTCTTCCCATGTTTTGGCTGCTTGTTGTGTACACTAAGATCTCCTAAATATAGAAAAGGACGTGAAGAATAAGCAGCCACACAGTTTGCAGATGCACCCTGCGTGAGCAGCTCAGCTGGCAGTACAGACATGTGTGGTGGCCCTGTCTCCGGATACTGACCATCCCAGAAAGGGCTGGTAATGGGACATGTCCAAAATATTGGAGAAGGCATGGAACAGAGCACCAGAAACACGCCTAGTGTGAGCGTTTCTGTAGTGGCAACACAGGCAAAGAAAAGAGGTGGCTGATCCAGGTTTCACAGCATCGTTACAGATATCCTGCTAGCCTCCCAGCACAGAGCAGCAGCTCCCAGGGATTGTTTGGGCTACTGTACAGCTGTCATCTGCCCAGGCAAAAAGCGCTGGTGTTCAGTGTGTCGGGCGGGTGAGGGAGCCCTGGCACAGGCTGCCCAGAGAGGCTGTGGGGTCTCCTCCTTGGGGAGCTCCAAAAGCCGCCTGGACGTGGGCCTGGGCAGCCTGCTCTGGGTGTCCCTGCTTGGGCAGGGGGGGCACCAGGGGCTTCCCCTTCCAACTCCAGCCCTGCCGTGACCCTGTCAGTGCCAGTGTTATCAGGCAATCAGTGGTGCTTCATTTCGAGTGGGAGAGGGCTGCTGTGCTTGGCTCAGCCCTTCCCTTGCACTTTCATTATCCAAGGGCTGAAATTTCAGGTTCACCTGTAGAAAACCCACAGGTGGCATTAAAAAGGAAGATAAAACGCACAGGATGCAGGGGATTGCTGTGCTGTCAGCAGTGAAGTCACAGGTTGTCCCGTCCCTCTTTGTGAAGGGAAAGTGAAGGTGCTAGGAGAGCAGTTTCATTTCACAGCTCAACATATTTTAACTGGAAAATGTGCTCTTCCTCGGCCTTTGATGACACCTGCATTAGTTAGAAAAGTGTCTGCTGTCCAGCCAAGGAGTAATCCCAATGCCCACAAATATCCAGATATATATATATAAACTTGAAAAAGAAAATGCCAGGTCCCCAGGGAAGTCCTGCAGGTGGCTCTAGCAAAACCAAGACCAGCTCCTGCAGCTCCTGACCTGCTCTCATTGCAGCCACCCTGTTGCAGTTGTGCTGCCTAACGCAGGCTGCTTGCTGTTACAGGGCATCTCCACCTCTTTGGTTTTGCAGCACTACTCCAAGCACACAGGTTGCAAATTGGCTTCCAGGTGTGGGGCCAGATTCCTGGGTGAGGCTAAGCCCTTGTGATTTATATGTTCTTCTGGGCTTACACAGGTACACCAGCTCCAACACCCACACTTGCTCTCACTGCAGCTTTGCCACCAGCCAATTCCTGCAGCTCTGGCAGTGTCCTTGCAGCCCCAGCTGCTCCTCTGGGTGAGATGCAGACTTAACTGCCCTCAGAGCTGCCAGCTGGCTCGTCGTGAGCTGTGACCCCAAGCCAGAGGAAGCGACTCTGCTAACGCAGGATGGCATTGCAAGAGCTTGGAGCTGGTGACAGCAATGTTTCCAGCCCTATCTGAATCTGGGTTTTTACAGATTGCAAACTAATTGCACCCAGGAGTACATCCTTCAGCTGCTGGAAGTGGAGGAGCAGTGCTAACAAAAGGGCTCGCTCACTGAAACTGCTTTGCACTTTCCCACTCCATCACCTAATAAAGGGCCAGAGCCAAACGCACCAAAGCACAGACGCTTGTTTAATGCCAAGCTTCACACAGCAGCACATTGCACCACAGACTGCTTCCTGCATGAGCCCCATTCACCCCCTGTAAGGCTTTGAGCAAATTTAGCAGAACAGTTTGCAAAGTGCAAAAAGGCAGCGGGCTGCCACAGTAGCAGGGCTGTGCTCGCCACCCAGGATTGAAGCAGGCAGCCAGCAGCATGGCCCCATCCCAGCAATGGGTGGATGCAGCCGCTTGGCTCACCTGCTCCTTGCATGAGGGCAAACGCTGCATCAGGAGCATGCAAAACAGATCTGATGCCAACAATCGCTCATTTTGCTGTAATATTTTGCAGCACGATTATCTCAGGGAAGAGAAAGTGACAGCTCTGGACAAAAACAGGAGGCAGGTTTTTGTTTCCATCACAATTCCCTCATGTCCTTGCTGGAATAGATAGAAGTTTTTGCAGCACTTTAGGGTAAGTAAAATACTGGCAATTGTTAGGAATCCATTTGGTTGGCTCTTTCTTATCGGCTGCTGTGACAAAATCCCCACCTCTAGTTCTCACAGAGAACAAAAATCCCAGTTAAGGCCAGTGCTTAAAAATCACCATTTTAAGCTGTTAAGCTCGGCTGTTAGATTCATTTTTGATGTGGGCAGAAGGAACCCAACCGGCCGGACTCCTGGCAGGTCAGTTTTGCATTCACACTGACTGCTTTTCCAAGAGCACCACACAGGGAGCAGCTGGCACTGCCACTGGGCACCTGTATCTCCTTTGGTTTCCTTCTTTTATTTCCTTTGGTTTGACATGGGAACAAAGCCTTTGAGACAGCTGTGCACTCTGTTACATCTCCTAGGTTGATGAAATCCCCATGATTTAAACCTGCTTTAAATTCTGCTTTCAGGTGGTGATAGGTGAGGGGACCAGCTAGGGGAGGCAGGAGAATGGGAAACACACCTGGGGAAAAGGAGGCAAAGCAATGCCAGCAAATGGAAGCAGCGACAGGGAAATGAATAAAGCAGAATGATGGGGAAGAGCCGTAAAGGAGGAGGGGAAGAGCCCTAAAGGAGGAGGTGGGGGGGTGCAAGGACAAACCCAGGTGCATCAGGAACGAGGGGTCAGTGCTGTGTGTGCCTGCTTCACAAAATCGAGTCTCCATCAAGAGCAAGGAGCTCCAGTGACAGGTATGCACCAGGGGCAGGAGAACTGCAGTGATCAGTGGGGTTTTCCTTCCTGCACATCCCCCTGAGCAGCCTGAGGTTATTTGGCAAAACCTTCACACCCAAGTGGGAGCTTTGCTGAGTGTCTCCGCAGTGTAAATCTTTGTGCAGTTATTTCCTCCTGTCTCCAGCTGCCTTCTTTTTTTGTTTGAACTGCCCATAAACCACGACACAAGGACAGATTTTTTGCAGAATGGGTTGTTGGCGTAGGCTGGGGATGTTTGGGTGTTTCTGGCCTGATTCCTGGGCCTGGGGATAAGGCACTTTTCTATTCCATGAGAAAATAAAATCAGAGTCTCACTAAGGGGAGCTTTTAAGTAATGTAACAAGAAAAATTTAAATAGAGATAATCCTTTTTTGTCCCCCCCAAAATGAGGTAACTGGGGAAAGAACAGAGATTGCCTGGCATTTACACCTCCTTCAGCTGTTGCAGATAAATTATAGCAAGGCCACATGGAAAGGTAACTTCTGCTCCCTAGGATCGTGTGGGGATTGCAGGCACATCCTCAGAGCTGCAGCAGCTGAAGACCTTGAACTACAGGCAGAGTGAGTAAGCAATCAGAAAGCAGAGTCCTAAATCTTACATATATATATATATATAAAGCCCTAAAATCTCATATATATATATAATTATATATATATATATATATTTTTTTTTTTTCCAACTAACAGATATTTCTTTCTTTTTGCTTCTAGCTTTCAATTACAACAGTGATACGCCTGCAGAAGGTGCAGTGTTGCATCCTGAGGGGTATTTTGGCTTCCAAACTCCTTTACAGCTGGTCTCTGCACAGCTGGGAGACTGGCAGTGCAGGTTGGATGTAGCAGGCTGCAACAGAAAGGAAATGAAAAGGCTTCTGCTCTAGGAAAAGCAATCCTCTAGTTGTAACTGCAGCAAGACCTGCTCGATGGCATTGTGTGCATTAGGAAGCATCATCTGGTGGACAGATATTTTCGGGAATCTCTTATACAGCACTTGCCAATGCCTTGAGTAAACTCAAACGCTATCTATTTGTTGTTGAAAGCCACAGGATATATAACTTATGGCATTCTTGAGCTCTTCCCTGCAGGTCCCAGAGCCTGTTCGAAATAACAAGGGTGAGCTGAACCCACAGGCTTGCTTCTTTTTATCCCATCAAGACAATAGGTGTTTTATCATCTGAAAGGCTTAGTTTTGTCTGCCTGAGTCTGTCCGTCCTGCTAGTTAAAAATGCGTGAAAATAATTTTGGGGAGTTTTCATCCACATGAATAGGTTAGTCCTCTTCAAGAATAATAATAATAATAATAAACTGAAGTTTAAAATGTAGCTAAAGATTGATCTTAAATTAATATTGAGGGTTTCAAATTATTTAGGGTTTAACACAGAGGATAGCTGCATGAATCCTCGTGGAGGAAATGCTCTTATGTGATTCCACAGTATTTTTTCATCATGCAAATATTTTTTCAAGCAAGGATTATTATTATTTATTTCAATTTGTCATCTCAAAACTTCAAAAAAAAGGGGAGGAATTTTGACAAAACATACTGCAAGTTTTATTTGGTAGACCATTATATGTCTATTTTGACATCTCAGTCAGAAAGCTCTTCTCCCCCTTGAATAGATGTGGGGTCCCCTTGGCTTTTATTGTTGAACATCCTTAGGAATAAAGTTTGGTGAAGCTGAATCTGCGGTATTGATGACAAAGGACCCAGTGCTGTTGGGTCTACCGACATGGAATGGCATCACGTTGGCCAACAACTTTCTTTTCCCCTTGGAACAGAGTGAACCAAATTGCCCAACAGATACGTGGATTTCCTCAGGTTAAACTCTGCTACCTTATGTAGCAAGAGTCAGCAAAAGTACACAAGAAAGGGCATTTGCAATGTATGAGCTGAAATGGTTCAGTAAATGCTGCTATTCTGCTAATTCATTGTCCTCTTGCAAATACATATTTGCACTGGGCAGGTGCAGAGTTCATGCAAGTTTAAGTAAACGTGAAGTTAGGGAAAAGGTAGCTGTGGACTCAGCCTTTACTTTGGATTTTAAAATCCAGTTGTCGGTGGAGACCTGGTGAAAACGATGGCTGGGAGCCTCTGGGTGTGTGCAGACAGGGCTGTTAGGTCACTTGGTGAATGCAGCCGTACGCATTTCTGCCTTCACCGGCCATTATTTGGGGGTCACCTGGTGCTCATCAGCCTCTCCTGGGTTGTGTGCCCTGTCTCAGATGGCTCCTATGGACCAGGGTCTTGAGATGCTCCTGATGCTGGTGGAGAAATTGCATTTACTCAGTGAATATTCTGGTATGTTCCTACTGAAGAGCAAAAAATTGCAAGTTTTTTTTTTTTTTTTTTTTTAAATTGGTTATTATTTTATTCCACTGTAGAATATATGCTTATGAACACACGGATACTCTGTATTTATATTTACCATTACATTCCAATGAACTGTCTGATACGTATCTTGGGCAAATCAATGTGATTTCTTGAATTATAGTGGTTTCATTTTTTTTCCAGGCTTTAACTCAGTGCTGCCGGTTAATCGATTACAGCATGGAAGTTGATATGTTGAGCCTACAATAATGACAATTTTTGCATGCTGAGTAGCAGGTGAGTTGTCCATCCACAGACTGAAACTGGGAGCTGGGCAGCAGCAACAGAAATCGTCACAAAGACTGAGGCTCGGAGAAAGAACTTCCTGCAAGCTGCGTTATTTGTGAGTGCTTTTCCACCCATGCTTTAGAAAAATCTCATTTATAACCTCTTGAACAAGCCAAACTCCCCTTTATCAGACTGACCAACAATATTAAACTGTGATAAGGAAGGATTAAAAAATCAAATGATGGGAAAAGCTAAATCTTCCTCAACATCACCTTCCATTGAAGTGGTGTCACCAGTTAGGAGCCACAGTGTGCCCCCACCAGCCACCCCCATCAGCATATTATTAGGAAACATTCCCACTAATCCCATCAATCGCTGCTCTTGTGGGGGGCAGCAGGCCTGCTCCACATCCAGCCCCCATTATTTCACCCTGCTGAAAGCACTGCTTTATCAGATGTCATCGAAAGGGCTCATTTGCCATGCGGGGAGCCAGTGGGTTTTACCAGCGCTCACACCAAAACTAAATATGGATGAAATTGCACCCCGCCAGCACAGAGTGGGCATCGTATGGCTGTGCAGTATGCAGCCTCAGCCTGCTCTGTGGCTCCGGGAACAGCGCTCGCTCGCTTCAGTGCTTTTCGTTTGTGTAAGGCCGAAACAAAGCAGCAGTGTCTGAAGTGGAATGTGCTGCAGGTAGCGAGCTCAACCTCCACCGCCACAGCCAGCGAGAGGATTAATTAAAGGAATGAAGGTTGTTGCTTGGAGGGACTTCACAGGAATGCAAACCGAAGGCCCTCAAAGAGCCCACAACAAAGGGGAAAGCCATGCGATCTTAAACTCATGCGAGGATGAGTGGTATTGGATTAAGGGCTTGGCCTACCTTGCAGAAAGGGCAGGAAACATCGCTGCACTAGAAAGCAATGCAAGCAGGAAAATTTTTATTTATTTATTTATTTTCTTTTGGTAGGGTGGATTAAAATAGTGTAGCCTTGCTGATGACATTTGTGTTATATCTGATACAATCAAATGTGTGTGATAGTCTTAAGAACGCACACACAGTTTGTTTTGTAGTTTGTTTGCAAATAACATAAACACCTGCTTCAATCCCCGTTTCTCTCTTGATTTTCTTCTTTATTTCATTTTTATATTTGGCAGGGCGATGCCACTGTGATCCCGGCCGTGCTGGGAGTCACGGAGCTGCCTTTATCAGTGCAGAGGGGTACAGCAGCAATAAACGCACCTCCTGCTGCTTTGTGCAGACCTGCGAAGCGTCACGGGGCTTTTCAGTTATCTCATCCCCTCCATTAAGGCACTCACCCCGGCTGAAATACTGACCTGCTTTTTGATGTGCTTTCCACTGTGTGCAAGCTCTGATTTCACTGCTTGTCTAAGTGTCTACAGGTACTTGGCTGCTTGGGATCTGGCAGACCCTCTTGCTGTGACCTAACTTTCCAGTTACCTGTTGTTGATGATGGTTTTAATATTTTCTTTTCAATGCTTGCCAGCTACATCTGTGATCTTCATTCTGCTACCTGGAAAACTTTTATCATCCTGAATACTTTTATCAACCCAAAATAGCCAAGTGAATAAATAAAAGTAGCTCAAGCATTCCCAGGACTGTGTGGATCCTTTATTTGGAGCATGCTAGCGTAAGCCTTTTCCACTGAAGTGTTGCTTACAGATTTTATCAATTTATCGTGGCCTGTAAAGACAATTTCCTCATCTCTGCCATTGCACGTTACATGGCCAGACCAATTTGTTGACCAGCCTTGTATAGGAAAAGGATGAGTCAAAATCTTTTAATCTTTTTTTTTTTTTTCTTTTTTTTTTCTTTTTTTTTTCCAGAGACGTTGCAGTCAGTATTTGTAGGACATCTTTGTGTGTGTTTATATACAGCCAAAGCACCTGTCTTGCTCAGCTTAGCTGTGGGTCTCAGCATGGCTTAGCCTTTTGTAGACATTCACCCTCAGCTTTCCACATCAAACCCATAAATTTTGCTGAAGCTAACGTGAATCTTAAAAAACATGCATGAATTCTGTACCATGAACTGATGAATTCATGCAGAATTCATCACTAACTGCTCTGCATGTTAATTACACTTGTTAAAGTACGTGCCTTACACCCAGATTGGAACCGCTTAATTTCGCCTGCCAGAGACTAGCTCATGCCATCAAGAGATCTCCAAGGATATTCTCTCCATGAAGATATTCATAAACGGCTAAGAAATAAAAAGCCTCTTTTGAAAACTCAGTTAGGCTTTGTAAGGAACTCTAAGACTAAAAAAAAATTGAGAAAGTAACAAAGTAATAGAAATACACAGATAAGAACTAATCTGAAATTTGTTGGAGTAAGCAACAGGTCCCTTCTGAGGAGACAGGGGCAGTGCAGCTTTCAATGTATCTCACACTTTCCCATAAAACCAATAGTGCTACACATTCTCCACCACAAATATCCTGACTTTATATTACCTATCATTATTATTTAGATTCAGCTTCCATTCACTGCCTCTTATGTCTTTGCCATAGAAATCACAGTTGTATTAATTATCAATTCACATTCATTCCTCTGAGCTCACAACTCTTGTTTGTCAAACCATGCAATCCCTTTCTTAATTGTTTAAATATAAACATTCTGGAAAAGGCCTAGATAATCCTTGGTAATTAGTCCATCAATATTCCCTATTTCTTCAAGCAAGGTCTGAAACCACCCTTTACTGCTGCAATGCAACACAAGCAGATGCTCTGCTGGTAGTAGTCAGGTGCCATGGTTGGGGCATCCCTCTCTGTTTCAAAAGTATGGCTACTTGTTATTTACATCACCTATCTGAAGCAGTCTACTGCGTGTAGTACTTGGTTTTCTTTTTGAAAAGAAAACCAATGTCTTTGAAGACATTAACAGGCAGTTAAAGGTGGTGCTCACCGTTTTTTTTGTCCTTTCTCGAGAAGAAAACCTTTGAAAGTATTGTCACTCTAAAGCTTGATGTTAACTCATTGCTTCTTCGAGAGGTACCAAATTGTTCTGTAATTTCAATAAAATTAAATCGATATGTAATTCTGCTCAAAATAATAAAATTGACCACTAACTTTGTATAGAATGCTATTATTAATATGAAATTGACAAGTGACGACCGATTCATGTAACAGTTTATTCACAAGTTAAAAAAAAAAGTATTACAAAATGATTTATACAAGGTTTTAATTTACATTCTTAAAAGGAGTAATTAAAACAGCACTGTAAGCCCCTAGATGTGATATGTGGGCAGTCTAAATGCGGTGGTAGTGTATGTTTTCTATTGGCATGTACAACACTGCTTGCCACAGGCAATATAAAAAAGACCAATTTGGTTAAATTAAGGAAAAAAGTATATACACAATATACATATATATTTAAAAAACACTGTCTTCATTTTTCCTCCCAATTTGCTCTCAAGCTATCTGTCACTCATTTGAAGAAATGAGTAGTTTCATCTCATCTAGAGTTGCCGGACAAAAACAATTGTACAAAGTGTAAATTCCAATGGGAAACATACTTACTGTGGCAGATGCTGGCAACATTTTTGAACAAAGCTGTTTGAAGAACTGTTATTAATGAAAAGTTAAATCTCCACATGTTCTAAAAATATCTTGCCATACAATGAAATGCACATTGGATTTTTTTTTCTATTTACAAAGTATATACAAAGAAGCACACATCTCTTCATGCAAATGTAGTGAAAAATAATATTTCAACTCTTCTTAAATGTACAAAAGCATCCAAAGAAATTATTCAAAACTACTCTTATTTGAATATATACGTTTCAGTTTTTAGTTGTATAACTATTCTCCTTGTATAACTGCATATTATTCTACTATGTCAGTGATCAAATGGTAGTACCTACTACTTTAAAAAAATCCCTTATGTAGTTGGTTCACTTTGGTTTGAATTTGAGAACTGTTATTCAACATTTCTACATGCATGAATAAGCTCACTGATTTTGGCTGCCTACACTGGGCCAAGCTATTTCTTGCACAGGTTCAATCTTCTACTGGGTGCTTCAAAGCAAAAGCCTTTTTCCATTATGGAACACAACTATGGTCTCATCATTTCCAGTGCCATATGAACAATGTGCAGAAAGATGAGTAATATTTATTGCAAAATTACATTTGTTTTGCTGATTGCTTTGCTTTTGTCAAGGCACATTGGGTATTTTTAAAGAATAATTGCTAGAGGTCACAACTGACAGGTTTGAGCCTGTTGAATGTAATGAATCATCGGAGGTTACTGGGATTGCTCACAGAAGTGAACACTATTTTAGGGAAAAATGGCTGCAGAACAAACGGTATTATAGGAAGTGGTACAACAAACTGCAGTTAAAAACATCTTAAGGAACAAGGAGGGCAGAAGGTTGGTGATAATTGACTAGGCATGCACATAACTTTGAGGATTCAGTTCAGAAAAAATCTTTAAAAAAAGATAATTTATCTTTAAAAAATGTTACAAATTCATTTTCATATTTTGTATGGACAAACTGAATTTACACAAAATTCTACAATGAGAAGGAGACAGTGACATGAATAAAAAGAAAAGAAGGCCTACTAAATGAGTCAATTATGTCACAATGAAGCTTGGCCGCAGAAAATAATTCATTACTAACAAAAAAATCAGTCATAGGTCTCACTTACGAATACTTTGATGACACACCTGCTGTAGTTTGACATTTTGATGTGAGTTGATTACACATATTTCAACATCCAAAAGATACATGTTATAACAACAAGTGCTGTCTTCCAACACTGGGACTACCAATTAAACACAACATCCCTATCTATACGGCTGACTTTCATTAACCTAATCTAATTTAAAGCTAATCTCCTGCTACATTTAACAAAACAATGCTCCCTCCCACAAACAAAATAGTTGGATGGAAGGGACTTCAATCATACATATTGTAACATGCAAAGTCTTTAACTCCCCAAACTAGCTTATTGACTATGATGTAATATATAATAAAAGCTTCAGTTTATCAATAGATGATCCTTGGATAAATAGAAATGTTTAAGTCCTTCAACAGCAGGAAACTGAGTTAAAAACTAGAACCAGACAAAAAAAATCCAAATGCATGCATAAATCTGCAAGCAGAATAACTGGCGAAGTCTTGTCCCAGGCCTTCTGACATCTGTAGCCATATTTAAGACACCCATCTAAACACACTAACTTATTTATATTTTTTGCAGTATTTACATACACTTTTAAGCTCACTCCATTAGACTTTTTGAGAATCTTATGGAATAAAAGGTTCTTTAAAAAAAAAAAGAAAAAGGATGCCAAAGGTCACAAATCCACTTTTCAGGGTTCTCCTAGGATGCTCCTTCAAGTCTCATTTTACAGCTGTTCTGGTTCAGATGCAACTGCTTGCTTGCAATGTGTGAAATTATGCCATTTTTTTCCAGCTGATTTTGAAACTGTGTGTCATTGAAGACCAGACCGTATTTGATGACAATCAGCAGAGGAGAATTAGGGAAGCATTCTGTTTTAGTGCTGAGAGAAGTAGCTTGGTTTCCTAGAAGAAATTGATAGAACAGTGGTTATGTAAACTCATAAAACAACTGTATGTACTTCTGTACCTGACTAAATGCTAAAAAAAATACTGCTATACTTACTGCTGACTGTGAAAATTCACTTAAACCTGAGGACTGAACCTGTATCTTCTGATTTTGTCACATTATTATTTATTTGGCAATATAATAACAAAGTATGGCCCGATGCAAGACTGTAATCCATACACGTGTACTAAAACAACTTCTCTCTAAGTATTTCAAAAAGATGAGAAAGATGAAGAGTAAATGGGAAAAAAAATCAAAGAATACATGATTTTGACATACCAGTAAAGATTTATACATACATATATGAATCAGTAAGAAAATTTACAATTTACACATAAGAAGTAAGATGAAAATGGGACTAGGACAGGATGGGTCGATGGGCAGAGGCCAATGGGATGAGGTTCAACATGGCTAAGTGCCGGGTCCTGCACTTCGGCCACAACAGCTCCATGCAGCACTACAGGCCTGGTGCAGAGTGGCTGGAAAGCTGTGCAGAGGAAAAGGATCCGGGGGTGCTATATCAATGCTTGCCTGAACATGAGCCAGCAGTGTGCCCAGGTGGCCAAGAAGGCCAACGGCATCCTGGCTTGTGTCAGGAACAGTGCAGCCAGCAGGAGCAGGGAGGTGATCGTCCCCCTGTACTCTGCTCTGGTGAGGATGCACCTTGAGTCCTGTGTTCAGTTTGGGATCCCTCAGTACAAGAAGGACATTGAGGCCCTGGAGCGTGTCCAGAGCAGGGCTACGGAGCTGGTGAAGGGCCTGGAGCACAAGGCCTGTGAGGAGCAGCTGAGGGAGCTGGGGGGGGTTTGGGCTGGGGAAGAGGAGGCTCAGGGGAGACCTCATTGCTCTCTGCAACTGCCTGAAAGGAAGCTGTGGGGAGCTGGGGGTCGGCCTCTGCTCACAGGTAACCAGTGATAGGACCAGAGGGAATGGCCTCAAGCTGTGTCAGGGGAGGTTCAGGTTGGCAATGAGGAGACATTTCTGCTCAGAAAGAGCAGTCAGGCACTGGGACGGGTTGCCCAGGGAGG